GGGGGGGGGGGGAGGCAAAAGAGAAAAGCCTCCAGGAGTGGCATTCTCCTGAAGAAACAAATTGCAGGCTTCATTGTCCCTTGATTTAGCCCACTTTTGCAAACGTTAAGTTGTGCGAAAGGGGAAGTCGATTGCAGGAGAGCTCCGGGCTTGGAGGTGCGGGTGGGCGGCCTGTGTGTGGGGTGAATATGTTTGGTGGTGAAAATTGGCCCAGGAGCTTCCTTCCTCTTGATCACTTGGATAAAAATGGTGTGCCACAGAATCTGATTGCTAAGAAGACAGGTGGGGGCCTATTGTGCATGCTATGAACCTAAGCAGCTGCCTTATAGTGGATCAGAGGCAGGTCTATCTTGCCCCGTCTTCTCATAAGCTCAGAGTGTGGGAGCGCATGGCTGCACAGAGAGGGGTTTGGTACTTTGTACCCCATCTCTATCTTCCAGAAAAGGAGGAGCCCGCTGAGAAACCCCATGGCAGATGGGCTTCTGTGCCCTGCCACCTACGTGGCCTTGTGTGAGGTGCATGTTCTCATAACGCTCCCCAGAAAAAGGGACTTGATACCTGGAAAATTCTGGATGAATTGCATGGAATCATAGAACTATGGAGTTCTATCGGGCCCAACCTCTTGCTCAAGACAGGAATCTGAGTTCGAGGATAAGTTGGATCTGAGTTGACTACACAATATTATAATTATTATTGTGAACTCTGACTGGCAGCCATAGCTCTCCCGTAGGGCACCCCTCTGCCCCATGGAATAGCGCTACTCAGAGACTCTGCCCTAGAGATGGGGGTATTCGTATAGGCAGGAGGCAAGAGGACAAGCCTGGCGGCAAGGTCAAAGAGTGGTGAGCGGATCGCGCACTGCGGAGCCACTGGTAGAATCGTGCTGTCTGAGTCCGCAGCAGATTGGTGAGTGAACCCTCTGGCCCCATGGGGCCGGACCCTCATCAACTCCATCTCTATTCTGCACTGTTGAGCTGTAGCCCCACCCTTCCCATGCATCTTTCAAGAAAGTACTCTAAGTATGAAGGAACTCTCTTGAGTCCATTTGGTAAGAGGATGTGTGAAAAGAAAGACCTGCACCCCTCTGTGGTTGTTCTGTGCCATCAAGCTGGAACGGATTGAGAGCAACCTTTATCGGGCCTTCAAGGTAAGTGAGATGTTTAAGGAGGGCTTTCACAATTCTGCACTTCCGTGGCTGAGTGGTGATTCAAACCCAGTACTCCCAGAGTCCTAGTCTGTCACTCTATCCAATATACCACGCTGGACCTCCTCCCTGTGCACCAACACGTCTTCCAAAGCACCCACGTGAGCACTCTTTCAGAGATTCCGCTCACTGAGCAAACTGGAAAGTGAGCCCAATATTTTCTGTAAGCATATGTATTCTTACTTTCTACATCTGTAGGCTTCCTGAATACATTGATTTTTTTTTAAAAAAATTGTACACTTGGAAATTAAGATTTAACTGTTTCTGAACCATTCACATTGTGGGACTGGCAAGAGTCCCCCCACCTCCACCCCAGCCGCTAGAGTGGGCTTTCCGCTCTCCGAAAGGGCTGGCTGGATTCCCTACTTCCAGCTCACTCATGGACTGGGTCATTGGTGAGGGGGAAGCACACCACGTCCTTGAGGTCGCAGGTGTGGCCCCGGCAGGGTTGCCGAAGACAGGTGAGGAGGACTGAAGGAAGGACGCCGTGAGTTGGGAGGCATGCGAGGCCCAGGAGATACTGTCGCTGCCAGAGAAGTCAACAGCTGGATGGGAGATGGTCCACAGGCGGGATCCTCAGGTTGGCTACTGGGTCAAATGGCTCATCCCACCAGAGGAAGCTGCCCAGGTCCGTTGGGATCAGGCAAGGTGCTGAGAGATTCAGAGGCTCGAGAACCAGTGATGGGCTCGCCATTGGGAGAAGAAGCTCCACAGTCAACCTCCCTCCAGCAGCTCTTGGTGGGGCTTTGGGGGAGCAGTTGAGGATGGAGCCTTCACCTGGTGTCTTCAGGGACATTTGATGGTGTGTATCTAACACACTTGTTGAGGAATCCCATGCCTGGTCCTCCTGGGAGGCGTCCTGGACCTGGTAGAGAAGGCAGGACTCTGCTCCTCCCAACAGAAGACTATACAGGGGAAATGCCCCGAAGACTGAGGGAGTGAAGTCAACTCCCTGACACCCTGAGTTATCTGTTTTATGTTAATGACCCTGTTGGCCTTGAAGAGTTCTGTTGCTCAATAAAAGTGTCTGTTTCAGCAACTCCTCTCAATGTCATCATGAAAAGGGGCCACAGGGGCCCATCACAGACGCTGACACCTTGTTCATGTGTAGCTTATGGAACTGTGTTTGTTTTGAGTGTGCAGATCTAAAGTTAGATAGTGGGCCTCGACAAGGCAAGGATTGCCCCATTTTGCCCTGATGTGTTATCTCGTCACTTGAAAACTAACCCAGGAGGGCTTCAACGCTACACAGTTAGAGCAGCATGTTGTTAATCTAACTGCCATGGCTCCCTCCTACACAATCCCTGGATTTATATTTGGTCAAATCCTTGTCGAGTGATCTGCTAAAGAGCTCTGCTTCTTTAAATTACATCAAAGAAATCTGAGTATCTCACCACACTGTAAAATCCAGAATTTCAGAGGATTGATCCTGGATAAAGTGGTGTCCAACTCAGATAACAGTCTAGAATAAAGCTGCTGTTGGTGGGAAGGAGGACCTTGAAAGAAGATGTAATTTGAGGCAGGAAAGGAGGGCTTTAATATTTTAATTTTTTTTTCTACTCCTGCTGTTTCTTCCCTGTTCTCTTCCATTAGATTTGGTGTAGGGAACCCTGTGGCTATGCAGACATGCAGGATTAGCCCCTGGGCAGGGCTTCATCCCACTGAACATGCTCTGTGGAGTACATAGGAGTTGCTGGGCCAAAATCTTATTGGGGGAAAAAAATTCAGATGATGAAGCATGGGTCCCCCCTCCTTTTGGCACCTTTTACGTAACCACGTGCATGACCCATTTCATGCCCAATGTAAGATTGTGGGCATGAAGGGGAATCTGCTGGAGAGAGGGAATGGCTAATTGTAGTGCTTTAGGTGTGATCAGGTAGATAAACAGGAGGAGTCTGGCCTGGGAAGGGAACAGGTTTCCTCACCCCTGCCTTAGGTAGATTCACCCCCTCCTCCATCCCCCTTTTTAAACTTTGAGTTGCTCGCTCTCTCTGCTACCCCGTATCATCGCCCATGTTGCTAGAATGCCCTGTCTTAATCATGCACTTCTGATAGTGTGCAGTTGTTCTGAGTCCCTGCTTCCCAGTTCCTACTGAGGACATCCATGAAACTGGCGATCACACAACACGGATTATTCCACATGTTTCTAAATGGAGTTGGAGGACCATAAGGCTGATGGAGTTCAGGTCTCCCTAAAGCGCATGCTCAGATGATTGGAATCCTAGTGGGAATTATCTTCCGAAAGGCCTCCCTCCCTCACTCTCTCTGATAATGGCCACTGGCTCTCCACCAGGCCGTATTCCTAAGGGCACGAATGGCACACATTCTATGGAACCACCTGCTTGGGGGGGGGGGGGGACGGATGTTACACCAACAGACGGGAAGNAAAGACTGGGTAGCTAAGAGATGCTGGAAAGAAAAACGGCCAGCCAGATGAGGAGTTCCGCACCCTCCCTTCTTCTGCCACGCCTTCCTTCCAGCCTGCAGCCCCTAGGGTTGGCTTTCATTTTAAAAGCCTGAGCCCTGGGGTGCCATTTCACTCCCGTGTTCTTGAGATCATTGGGGAACGTTTCCTGTCTTGGACACAGAATAGAATTTGGATGTGTGTGTGTGCGCACTTACCAATCACAGACACCTCCGTGCCCTGCCCAGATTTCTCTTCTCTCTCTGGGCTTCCTGCCCTGTACTTCACACAGTAATAGGTGCCGGCATCCTCCGGTCGGATGTTGGGGATGCTGATGCTGAAGTCTGTGAGGGATTCAGGAAAAATCATGGTACCCCGCTGGGAAGAGTCTCCCCTTTGACTATAAACGGGTCGTTGGCTCCTGTCCAGCCCCTTGTGCCATTTCACGCCACCTGGCCCACCAAGTCCAGTCAATGTGCAGTTCAAGGTGAGGGTCTCCCCTGCTCGCACGGACAAGGGTCCCGGAGTCTGCAGGATCTCCAGTGTCTGGGCTCCAGCTCCTGCAAACAAAAACAGGGCATCGTAAATGTATGTTCCCTTTGGAAATTAACCACCATTCTTCTTTGTGGCAAGGCAATATGGAGCCCTGCCTTACTCTCTTCTCATACTGTATGTACTGCATGCATATGTATATACAGATGTATTTATTGCATTTCTGTTCCACCATTCTTCCATTCTCTGTTGTGCTATTTATTGCATTTCTGTTCCACCATTCTTCTCTGTCGTGCGAATGGCTGATGGTTGGATTCTGAAAGATCTCCTAGATTAGATCTCCTGGATGGAGAATGAGTGCAGGAAAAGTGCCCCAGAGGGAGAGAGACTCCAGCTACGATACAAGGATCTCTGCAAGCAGGATCTAAAGGCGTTAGGAATGGACCTCAACAGATGGGAAACCTTGCATTGAGCATTCAGACTGGAGGCAGGCGTTGCATCACAGCCTCTCCCATTTTGAAGAGACCCTTGTCCAGCAGGCCGACGCAAAGAGGAAGTCACAAAAGCAGCAAAATCAGGGAGCTGGACAGGGGACAGATTATATTTGTCTTCAGGGTGGAAGGGATGGTCACTCTTGAATCGGCCTTGAATCTCAGCCACACCAGACGCTGTTCCAAGCCCTCTATTCAGAGCACATTACCATAGTCTCTCGAGACTGAAGGATGTATAATCTAATTCTTCCAGGCCATAGACACTTCTTAATTGGCCTGATTCTCATTGAATATGTACTCTACTCTAAGTTCTTAATTGGCCTGATTCTCATTGAATATATACTCTATTCTAAGCCAGTGGTTCTCAAACTGGGGTCCTCAGATGTTCTTGGACTGCAACTCCCAGAAATCCTGGCCAACACAGCAAGTGGTGGAAGATTCTGGGAATGACAGTCCAAGAACATCTGGGGGCCCCAGTCGGAGAACCCCTGCTCTAAGCCCCATGTGAACAAAGCTCAAACTGGTCTCCTCCTCCACCAGCAGTGAAGACAAGGCAGAATGACACATGATCCTGAACACATGATCCCTCAAAGCTGCCTTCTACTGGCTCACACTCTTGCTCCATTCGGCCGAATACTGTCAAGACGGAATGGCAACAACTGTGTTTCGCAAGCAGGGCTGGGAATCAGACCTTGAAGCAGAAGCTCTACCACTGAGCTACAGAAACCCACAAAGCTTCCTTGGATTGAGTTGGGCACACATTCTGGATGACCCATGGCTGTCCAGGCCATCATCTGCCGTGTGAGATGCTGAAGTGAAGATCTCGGAGATGGAGGCCCTTCAAAATGCAAAACTCATTCTGTGTCAACAAACTCTTCTTCCCCTAGTGCAGCACTTCACAACATTGGGGGACCCAGGTGTTCTTGGGCTGCAACTCCCAGAAACCTGGGACAGCACAGCTGGTGGGGAAGGCTTCTGGGAATTGCAGTCCAGGAACACTTGGGTTATGCAAGGCCGAGCAGCACTGCCTTAGAGGCAGGGACCTCTCCAGGAACTGGACTCAGGAACTCCCTGAATTCAAAACAGGAACCACATTCTGTATCACATGTAGGGACCCTCCAGAAGTTTTGGACTTCAACTCCCCCTTCGCAATCCTCACAACTGGCCAGACCGGATGGGGCTGATGAAGACGGAAGGGCTGCAATGCTTATGGATTACCACTCCTGCTTTACACCAATAACGGCAGGGGGGGCTTTCTCCCCTCCCCGATCCTTCATTTAACAACTGCAAAGTCCATTTAGAAAACATCCCCTACCCATCAAGACATATGGTGGGTTCAGGTAAGCCTGTGCACGGTTGCCTGAAAAACCTCACCCATCCACAGTTATAATTCTGTGCAAACATGCCATTTACAGCAACAGCCATATGCCAAGGATAATTTTAATACACCCCAAACTCTTTAATTCCTGGTCGCATGCAAGCAGCTGAAGTGGAAAACTTTTATCCTGCACTACTGGCCAATTGGTGGGAAAAGAGAACCAGGATTGTGAATCCGTTTTGGGAAATAGCTCACATTTTGGACTGCTTGGGGAGCAGTCTGGCACAATCTACTTTCTTTGGTGATCACACGACACGCAGGGAAATGTGCTCCAGCCTGGCCCCGATCCATGGCCTTTTTGGTCCAGGTGTAGAGCTGCTGCTCCCAGGAGCCAAACTGGAGCAATCTGGACCATTTCTGGTGGGATCAAGCTCATGTCTTACTGCTACCTAAATTTGTTCCCTATCTCAGCAGTATTCACGCTCCACCTTTTAAACAAATCTTCTGGGTAGCTCATGGCCAGGGAAAACAATATACCGTGTTAAAAATACTGGAAAACAAACAAGACCCTCCCATCAAAAACCCCAATAAAATAAAAATTAACAGAGCCAACTGGAAGTTTAATGGCAAAGAGCAATAGCAGCAAAAATAAACAGTTTAAGGATGCCAGTCCATAAATGCTAGCCAGAACAAAGAAGTCGTCACCAGCTTTCTAATAGCGTCTAATTTACGGGCCAAGCTAATTGCCCTGAGGAAGGTCAACCAGATTTGGTGGGCGATGGTCAAAAAGACCTCATCTCGGGTACCGATCTGTCCCACCTCTGATGGTGGGGACACCCAGGGGGGATAAGTGTCCCCTATGGCCGAAGGTGAGCAAAACTGACAGGGCAGCTTGAGTGGACAAAGGCAGTTCTCAATATATTCCGATTTCAAGTCATTTTGAGGCTGAGTCTTAAAAAGTCCAAACTAGCATCTTCACTTAAGACCAGAAATAAGCCTGTAACATGGTCAGGCTTGAGTGGACAAAGGCAGTTCTCAATATACAGTATTCCGATTTTAAATCATTTTGAAGCTGAGTCTTAAAAGGTCCGAACTAGCATCTTCACTTAAGACCAGAAACAAGCCTGTAACACGGTCAGGCATCACAAGGTTGGTACAAGAACCTCTGATCCAATGGCTTCAGTCAGAACCATCCGTGGACATGATCTAAACCAAACAAAGTTTCTACTAGATGGTCTTCAAAGGCAAAGCCACATAGTACCCACGACAGATTATTTACTCTGGAAGCGAGTAAATACTCTGAACAGGGCTCATTGTCTCTGGTGAGTTCCGAAATGATCATGCCTTCATCCCCACTTTCTGCTAATTGAGTTTCGTTAAAGCGGGTGCAACCACATCTAGGACTTTGGATTTGTTGTTACTCTCTTCCGATATTCCATCAAGCTGGCAATGTCAAATGCTTTGCAAAAGCGGAATCGTGACACGGATTTCTATACCTCTTCTTCCTCTTCTTTTTAAACTGACAGGTTGTATTTTTTTTCCGAGGCATGAGATACAGCAGTCTCTCTACAAATAACTGTGATCACAGATGTAGTTGTAAAGACCAAAGGAGGATGGCTGGCCCTTTCCGTGACAGTTTCTGGCATAATATGAATTAATACTTCACCTGTCAAAACTGCAGCTTCGTTTCTATTTTCTGCCGAGCTTCGTTGCAACCTGGATAAAGCTGTCAGCGGTTGTTATGCCTTTGGGTCTCCATCGATAGTCTTTGCTTAATTTTTATCAGACTAATAGAAACACACATTCACATATAACCTTTCAACGCTGGGTTTCTGGGTACAGAAGGCCCATACAGACTTCTCCTTTATCTGCTCAGAGTTTCTCCTACCCCCTAGGGTTTTAATGCACACACAAATGAGGAAGAAGCCAAGTGTTTTGAATGCACCACTGATCCAAATTATTCTGTGCATAGTATTTCGTAAACATACACACACCTACTCAACCCACCTCCCCTTAAGTGCAGGTAAGTGTATGATTTTACTGTCTAACATTCTGAAGCATTCTATTTTCTTACTGTGTAATGGATGTTCATGTTGCATAATTAGGCTTTTAGGGGGGGGGAAGCCTACATCTTTTCTTTTTCTAAAGAGTCCTATGGGTTTGGCTAATGTGCCTCATTTCATTAGCTTCCTGAGATAAAGGCACGGCTGGATGAGAAAACAAAACAAAAGCAAACCCCGAGGTGCAGCGACAACTGAAGCTTTTTAGAAAGGTAACATTTAATCTGCTTTATGTCAGGATTCACACATCCACTCGCAAGGCTGGCACCTTCGAGAAAGATGAAGCTGGCAGCTGAAAAACCTAGTTCCTCTTTTATGTACATCTGTAGAACACCCATGACAGCATCAACTGGGTCACCCTAGGTAGGCGAGATTTTAATGGGGAGTTTTGTACACACCGAAAACGTAATTACTCCAACGGTCCTTCTTATTTATTTATTCATTCGCCTGTACGCTAGCCAAAAATCTATAAAAAGAGTTTGCAGCTGTCTCACTAATATCGCTGTAGACTTAGAAAATAGGCCAATTTTGCAGAAAAGCAATAGCATTGAACAAAAATCTTTTTCCAGCACCTTTCGATTAGTGGGTGGAGGGGAAACCCTGCCCGGGCCAACTGTGCTAATAATAAAATACGTAAACAGAGGAAGAAAATAAACGGCCGCCTGTCCCTGACACTTCTATACTGCTATACAAGTTCTAAAGAAGCTTAACAATTGAATAAGATTTTTGCCTTTCAAGCAACGTGCGTTTGAGGCCAAAACTGATGAAAGTTCTGTCTTGTTGAAATCACAGTTTAGAAGAAATAATAAGAAGATGGTTAACTTCTGACCAACCTTTGCTTCTAGCAATGGATCACATGGGGATCTTTTTTCTACTACTGTATTTTATAACTCCAGATTGACACAATGGCTAGAATATTGTGTTCAATCACACAGATGATGCAATTTTTAGAAGTGAATTGACATAGGTTAAGAAATCCATCCATCCATCCATCCATCCATCATTAGCTCCATCCATCCATCCATCCATCCATCCATCCATCCATCCATCCATCCATCCATCCATCCATCCACCCAACATTAGCTCCATCCATCCATCCATCCATCCATCCATCCATCCATCCATCCATCATTCCATCCATCCATCCATCCATCCATCCATCCATCCATCCATCCATCCATCCATCCATCCATCCATCC